ATTATGCTATTCCCTCTCCAAGAACATCCATTAAGGTATGACATAACTGCAAGCTTCTCCAGAGAACCTATTTATTGTGCATTCATGCACAAAACCTATGCAGAGGTTAGCTATATTTGGTCTTTAATAAGGGTGTTTATATGTCTTCTTGAAGGAATGGGTGTCTGTGCAGTAAGTTTAAAACTGACTCAACCCCCCCCCCCTTTCTTCTTTCTCCAAGAGAGTACTCTAAAATGCGTAAAACTTGAGCTGTTGAGCAAAAGCATAACAAGGATACAGCGGCATAAACAAGCTCTCTCCTTTATCAGTCACGGCAAGGGATGACCCTGGCTGTTCTTCTAGGGGACCAGAGAAGATACGTCAGTACCTTATCTTATGTGCTGACCACAAAAGACGCACAGGCCGATGTCCGGGGAAAACGCCAAAAGCGTGTTCCTGGAGATGATGACCTCTTCCTCCCAGATAAAAGTAGGAAGAGGAAGATCCTTTTATGGTCAGAAGTACAGGAAGGAACACCCTTTTATGGTTAAGAATACCAGAGCAAGAACATATGTGATGTCAACCTGCGTACATAGGCTGACGTGGTTGGAAAGAGGGAGAGGGTGCCTGGAGGATATATATACTGCATGAAACTTGTCATTTCTTTGGACTTGCTGTGGACTTGATCACGCAAGTGCCTTCTGCTATCCAGAGAGAGAATAAACTCTTTCTTTGAATCAACCTCGGTGTCATTTGACTTCCTTCCTCATGTCCCGGAGCAACGCAGACCCAATCGGTGAACTCCAATAAGGCTACATTCTCATTGATCATTTGTTCATTCCACACTTTCCTAACCACTTTTTAAAAGCAGATTTACTGTATTAGGGTGGCAGGGTGCTTTCATTCACAAACCTAAATTTCCCAGAGTGCATTCATCCTGCAAAATACTGACATTCAGAGACATCCTGAGTTTTAATAAACAGGTTGGAAATTTGCCTGTTTTGCCACGCTTGGGGAGGGGGGGGCCTAATGGAGCACATACACAGCAAACCTGCAACTTGCGTGCATTTAACTTGTGTGCATTCAGTTTTACATGTGTAACAAAGAAGAAGAAGGAGGAGGAGGAGGTGGTGTGGAAAGCCGGCAGGCGTCTGGGGGTAAAGACTTTAGCAATCCCACCTGCCATTGAATCCAATGTATTTTGACTATACATGATTTTGGCTTTAGGTACAGTCCCTGGAATTTAACCCCTACGTAAGTTGTAGGCTTAGCTTGTGTTTTATCTATAAGTTGTGGGTATGCTTAGCATTTTAGAATCATAAAGTGGATGATATTTTATTGTTTATTTTCTATATTATATGTCACTTTGTTACTTTTCTGTGGAAATGCAATTCAGTAATATTGGGGAAAATATATTTTAACAAACTGAAGAGCCTGTCATTCCTTCTAGGTCTTACTCGTTGCTTCTTATATTTTTCCTTCAAATTCCAAAATCATTTTGCCTTAGTTTTCATTGGAATTGCAGCATATAGTGGGTGGTTTCAGTTTGCTGAAGCCAAGACTGGGCCAAATTCATCATGGTAAAAAAATCCTGCCTGCTTTAATTCTTCTTAGGCCCCACTAGCTTTGATGTTGAAATCAAGAAAGAGTTTTGAGTTCATAAATACTTTCCCTATGAACTCGTATTTTTCAGCATAATTGCACAAACAATAATATCATATTTGGCACTGCTTCATGTATTTCGAGCTTTGATTATCATGTTTTGAAAAATGAAATGTTTCAGGCTTTCATTCACCATAGCGTCTTGCCACCTCCTTAATTCCTTCCCCTTTCAGCAAGGCACTTACAGAAGTGCTCAGAGTTAAGCAGAGTGCTAAAGTGCTTTCCTGAAATGAGATCTTACCATTTAAGACCCTGTCCCTTTGATTGGCCTTCCCACTGCTGCACTGCAGACAGCTAGTAGTAAATTACAGAGACATTAGGCCTTCTCAATTGAACAAATCTGTGGATACCTAAACATATAAAGGACTGTCCCTGTGCCTCCTCCCTCACCTTCCACACATCCACCTGAGCCTCTGCACAAACCGTCTACCAGGGCTGGCTCCGGATTCTGGAGAGCTGTTGGGTAACCTACCCTGAGTGGGTCCTCCTACTCTTCACTGCAGTTGTCACGACATGTTCACTTAACCTCTCCCTCTGGGCGCAATCTGCTCAGCCATCTTGAGGGTAGCGTGGGTCAAAGAGCAGCAGCACTTGAGAGGGCCTTCCCTGTGGTGTCCCCTGGTGGTGGAGTTATCGTCCATTTGTGGGGCATCTTGCACCATCTTGTACTGTTTGCTTTTGGACCATTGGTCAAAACACATCTTTATATCCAGGTCTTCGGCCGAGTCACGGAAGTCTTCCCTCCTCCTCCTGTATTCTTGTTATTAACACTATTGGTGGTTTTATTTTATGGTTTCAAGGGTATATTATATTTATTTTCATTGTGATATTTTTGTAACCCACCCTGGGACCTTTCGCTGAAGTACAAATAATAAAATCAATAACGCAATCTGTGCACATCTTGATTTTCTCTGTACAATCTGCAGAAACAAGGAAGCAGGTTGCACATCACGAGCCTACATTGGGGATCACTAGTGTGTGGCACCCTTGAGGTCTTCCTGTGTCCATCCACAAGTTCTCTGAGCCCCTCCCCACACTGTCCCCTTCATCATGAGGTGATGAGAGCTGTTACATTTTTCTCCCTTGATTAAGTATATACAGCTTTCTCCTGTTTCTTCTTTCAGCTCTGTGTGCTTTTCACAGCTCCGGTCCATTCTATTGGATCCCACTTTTACCCAAATCCCTTGGGGAAGTCTGTGCAGATGCCCTCTCTCTCTTTCTGTCTCTTGCCTGGGGGCTGAGGGGCGGGGAGGGAAGTGACCAGAGAGGATGGTGCCCATGGCGTTCAGCACTCACTCAAAAATCTAAATGTGTCCAGAGGTCTAGAAAGGTTGGTGACCGTGCATACAGCTTCTATTTATGTTGCTCTGTGCAAAAGAGCCAATCAATATGTAAAGGTTGGAAGTGAATCTACCTAGTGCAATCCTGACCCACCACATTCCTCTTGAATGGATTTGGTTGACCGAAATGGGTTTTGCTTGCTTTCCAGTCTCTGAGTGCCAAGGCATTTAACCAATTGTTCACAGGAACCCTCTGTGCAGACCAGACCTTAGTTTTGCTAAGTGCTACAATGTGTGTTGTTCACTCCATCAAGGGAAGAGGGCAACCCAACTACCAAAAAAAGAAAATACAGGAAGAGCATAGCTAAAAACATAAAAAATATAGAAGCCTCTTTAAAACTTATTCAATGCAAACAGTGAATTGAATTCTGTGGCTTTGCTTTTTTGACTCAACAGTCCTCACTTTGAAATCCAGAACACACCCCCATCCAAAGATTAGGATATATAAAGGTTGATGAGAGATAAATCAAGACAGCAGTTTAAAATGTCTAAGCTAACCAAGAAGGGTGGAGAATTGTTTTTTTTAGACAAAAGCCACCAAAAGCAAAATGCAAAAGTTTGCTGCAGATTTGGCCTCTATAGAAGCATTACAAAAACAGGTACATTAGTGTGATAACAGAATAAATGTGATTCCAGCTATTCAGGCACACTGCAACAAAACCCTTTATTTGTTTAAAGGAAACTCTCTAACAATGGCCCTGCTTGCTTCGGCAAGCATGTCTTACTGTTTAATAATGCCAGGGTCTTTTAATTATTATTTTAAATGCAGGTTTCCCCCTCCTGACTATGTTTGAACAGATGGTGTGCATTGCAGCACCTACCAAGTTGGTCATACTAAATTTACTTTAGCAGAAGAAAACACATCAGGGAGGGAAAAAAGAGGAGTCTTGTTTTAAAATACTGCTTCTTAAAATGTTAGTAGCTGCTGCTACCAAAACAGGTTGGATTTCGTGAAAGAATGGCAAAAATGCCGTTACAAAGTACACTGATTTGAACTACGTTGTTTTTTGTTCTGCCACAATGACTAGTAGTGGATATAGGTGGGCCTGGAGGAGTTTGATCCTCGCAAGACACCTAAGAACTTCCTTGTTTGAGCAAGGTCCATCTGTTCCAACAGAAACCCATCAGAATTCTGTAAAAAAATATCGTAAGGAAAGGAATCCTCTGTCCGATAGCCTGAGTAAGGATTATCCGATGAGTTAGCTGGCAACTGAAATTACACATTTCTTCCTTTAGCTGGAGAAGGGCCATAGCTTTACAGTATCTGCTTTACATTCAGAAAATTCCAGGTTTGGTCGCTGACATCTCCAGATAGAGCCAGGATAATAATAATAATAATATATTTTTATTTATACCCCGCCCTCTCCAGCCAAGGCCGGGCTCAGATGGCTCCTATCTACAACTCTGGGGAGCCACTACTAGTCAGTGCAGACAATATTGAGCTAGATGCACCAATAGTATCAGGCAGCTTCATGGCCATCCTACACCCCCTCCCAGGGCACTGCTCCAACAATATATAACACTTGAAAGACTTACATTGGCTCCCAGTACGTTTCCAAGCACAATTCAAAGTGTTGGTGCTGACCTTTAAAGCCCTAAATGGCCTTGGTCCAGTATATCTGAAGGAGCGTATCCACCCCCATCGTTCTACCCGGACACTGACGTCCAGCGCCGAGGGCCTTCTGGCGGTTCCCTCACTGTGAGAAGTAAGCTTACAGGGAACCAGGCAGAGGGCCTTCTTGGTAGTGGTGTCTGCCCTGTGGAATGCCCTCCCATCAGATGTCAAGGAAATAAACAACTATCTGACTTTTTGAAGACATCTGAAGGCAATCCTGTTTAGGGAAGTTTTTTATGTTTGATGTTTTATCATGTTTTTAATATTCTGTTGGGAGCCATCCAGAGTGGCTGGGGAAACCCAGCCAGATGGGCAGAGTATAAATAATAAATTATTATTATTATTATTATTATTATTTGATGAGAAACACACAAGAAAATGCCATATACCAAATCTTTGGGGGAAAGACTGTAGCTTAGCAGTAGAGCTTCTGCCTTGCATGCAGAAAGTCGAAGGTTTCAATCTCCAGTTTCTGCAGGTAGGGCTTGGATAGACTGAAGCCTGTGAGAGCTGCTGCCAGTCAGTGTAGACAATGCTATATTAGATGGACCAATGGTCTGGCTCCATATAAAGCAGCTTCCTGTGTTTCTGTGTTTCATTTTATTTTCCCCAGCCTTTTAACCCTCTTAAACTGTTGCAAGTTGCAAAATGATCTTTTATCATTCACCCTGTGCTGTGTGTTGTTGTTTTAGATGTTGATTGGTTTCTTTTTGTTTTTCTGGGTTTTTGATGTAGTAGTAGTAGTTGTTGTTGTAATATTGTATTTCTATTCTTTCTGTATGCCATCCCACAAACACTGATTGCCCCTGAAAGTGTGGGATATAATTTTTTTGAAATCAACACGCTGTGTGTCTTTGTTCACGGCTGAGCAGCTGCATTTTCCAACCAAAGAACCCAAGGACAATTTCATACATATTTATTCCTAAGAAAAACTTTATCCATATTAATAGTTTGTCCCATCATCTTTCTCAGAGGAATCCAGCTGCTTGCTGCTGTTTCACTGTACTGCAAAAAGGGTGGGGGGAAAGGGGAAAGTTTTGCACACTGAAATACAATGTGATATAAATGGCCTTTAATAGCATTTAAGGCTATATAGTGGCATTTCTGGTAAAAGTAGAACCCACTATATAATTTTAGTTTGTTTCCCATTCCCAATAGAAAACGAACACATAATGCAAACATTGTGTGTCCCTTTATAACGGGAGTTGTAAGAAAAATACTTGCTACCTGAGATATTTCTGTAAGTCAGTGAAGCAAACAGGCCAACATGTGGATTAGGTTACATTCAGAGCTGATCCTCATTTTGTAACACACACTAAACAGCAAAATGCAGGAGTCTCGGGTTTAATAAAACACAAACTTTCAGCCGCACATATAGCCAATAAAGACTGAAGCATCCTGGCCATGATCAGCATACTAATTGCTGCATGAATAAATCCTGAGGCTTGGCTGTTTTGAAAGGCAAACAAAATCTCTGCAGAAGCCAGAAAGAGTATTTACTAAGAAAACCTAGCCTGTGTGTACCTGTAACAGTGTCCTTATGAATGTAAACTATGCCTCTTGTTGATCTCTCTTGCTTGATATTAAATATACGAGTGTGTTTCAGAAAGTTTCAGCAAAATGACTGCATGCGCAGCATGGTGGAAATTACCATTCTGAATTATCCTGATATTAAGCAAAACTACCATCACTTTGGACTCTTTCTGAAAGGAACTACCGTAATGGAAGTGTGATGGTGGGGAAACGTTGGGATTGTTCTTGATTCTACCATTTCATTCCCTCCAACCTCTTGAGTCCCAAAACTGGGACACACATCTTCCCACCAATGCTTCTGTGTGAGTCATGCAACCCTTTCAAGATCATAAAGCCCCAAAGACACAATTTCCTTGGCCCATGCTCACCCCAAAATGCACTTTTTGGGGCTCTGCGCAGGATTACAGCCCCACTGTGCTCAGGGGTGAGATCTTGGCATGCAATCGTGTGAGATCAAAATGGCTGCCGTGCTCTTGCACAAGAAAACGGGATATTCCGTTTTTTCCAGGATACTTGCGGGGTACACTCTTTTGGCAGGAAGTGTTCAGGGTAACTCTTCCCTCACCTTCCTATCATGCCTCCTGGTTGGAGTAGGAACGAATCTGAAGTTTTATCCTCTATTTCCTCTCAATGACTGAATTGAGTACTCTGGTACTCTGAATCTCCAGAAATAGGGGGGGGGGGAGAGAATCTTACCCTCTCAACAAGAACACTTTTACCCCAAACGATACTACACCGCTGTCACAAACAAAGGCAATGTGCAGCTTTACTCCATACAATATATGACTGGGAACGGCACTTGCAAAAAAAACCCCAGTGTTGCCTCACAAATAAAAGAAGCTTCAGCGTGGATTGCACTCTTGTTGCTAGAGATCAGCTGAGTCATCTGAAGTCAATTTAATAGCCAGATATAGCAAATCTAGGATGTGGGTGGCGCTGTGGGTTAAACTACAGAGCCTAGGGCTTGCCGATCAGAAGGTCGGTGGTTCGAATCCCGGCGACGGGGTGAGCTCCCGTTGCTTGGTCCCTGCTCCTGCCAACCTAGCAGTTCAAAAGCACGTCAAAGTGCAAGTAGATAAATAGGTACTGCTCCGGCGGGAAGGTAAACAGCATTTCCGTGCGCTGCTGCTCTGGTTCGCCAGAAGTGGCTTAGTCATGCTGGCCACATGACCCGGAAGCTGTACGCCGGCTCCCTCGGCCAATAAAGCGAGATGAGCGCCGCAACCCCAGAGTCGGCCATGACTGGACCTAATGGCCAGGGGTCCCTTTACCTTTACCTATAGCAAATCTATGTCAAAACTGCTTTTCACACCAAAGTCCCATTGAAATCAGCTAAGTGCCTATGCCTGATTGCTTTCAATGGGGTTTAGGTGTGCCTGATTTTCTCTAGATTGCACCCACTTTATACTTAAATTGTCTGTGTGTGTGTGTGTGTGTGTGCACGCGCGCGCGCACACACACACACACAAAAACTATTTATGTCTAAATATAGTTAGATACTTTAAAGGGAATAACTGGAAAGTACCAGTGTTTGCTATTGGAGGCTTATGCTTCAGGCTTCATTTTCACAGCATTAAAAGATTAGAAAGTCTTCCCATGCCTCTCAGAGGGTTTCTTCCTGAAATGAACATTTGCTGAAGCCTTACTTCATAATGTGTGAGTGAAATACATTGCACAATGGATTGATAGGACTGTTCAAAGAAGCCTTTGTCAAGTCCTGTGCTGTGAACAACCAGTCTCTTTAGCGCTAAGCTCTAATCCAACATAGGTTTCCAGTGAGTAGAAGAAAACTGCTTGGCATAAATGGCTGCAGATCTATCTATGTGTGCTCTGATGTGCTGTGAGTGTTCTCTGAGCTTCTGCTCCACTTAAAAGGGCACCTGGTGGAATAAAATGCAGTTAGGAAAAAGAGAAAATGATCCAGCGTTCCTAACAACATTGTTAAGCTAAAGCTCTTTAAGCATGTGTATACAAGAATGTCGGTATGCATCTATTAGTAATAATGAGAAAATAGTTTGATACACCCACATATCAAAGGGATAAATGCCTTGTCTGCTAAACAGGTATGTCCTCATACTGAATATTGTCTGTGCTATCTAAGACCTGCTTAGACAAGCATTCCCCTGATCTCCTGACCAAACCTCCTGTTTTCATTGTTTTACCTGCCCTTTTAAACTGCTTTAATTGTTATGCAGTTTTAAAGGCCTTGTTTATTGCAAATTTTATTTATGGATATTTATTTTAATGCTTTCATGAAATTGTTTTATTGTGGATTTTAATTATGCATGGCCATATTTTCATAACTAGCTTTATATACCTGTAAACTGCTTAGAAGCCATTTTGGCAACAACACATCATATAACTTACTGTAGTTTATAGAGACAAGAGTTCTGGTTTTTTTTAATAAAAAAAAAGATAAGTGGAATCCTATGTAAGTGGAACCCAAATATATGAAGAGTAAATATGGCATAAATGTTGATGCATGTAATAGCTTCTCTATGTGGTAAAATATCAATAGCTGTATACTGGAGGTATTTATAATGTGTATGCATTTAATTATTTGTTATAATAGTTACTGCTTCTTCTTGAGAGTTAATAAAGTTTAAAATATATAAATACATAAAATATGGTAAAAGTGTAGCACATGGGGTTATTTAGGGGACTTTGACACATCGCACTAAACAGGCCTTTGGCGTTTCCCAGTCTGTAATAGGAATGGAGAATCTATTTTGATTTAAAATGTCTTTCCTTCATTCACAAGCTTCACACATACAGACAAATTGTGAGAGAGGGGCTCAAAGAATCACTCCAGGGATTAAAGCTCCCCTCATTCCAGAGCATCAGTCATCCTGCCTGGGGCTGATGGAAGCTGGACTCCAGCAACAGCTGGAGAGCTACAGGTTTCTCATCTCTAGATTACACCATTAGGCTAGAATGGCAGAGGCCTGCATTAAAAATACTACTGCTTCTCTCTCAGCCTTAGCTCCTTGGCTGTGAAATGGGCAAATAAACAATCTACCTCACAGGGCTGATTGTGAGATCAGAAACTGAGTTTTTAAGCATTCTGTACACTAAACACCTTATAAAGATAGGACTGGGGGAAGCCGTAAAATACTGGTCAAGAAGCTTTACTTTGCACTGCAGAGTCTTTTAAAATTAAATGAAACTGGCTGAAAGTGAAAAATTCCTCGTGACACACAAAATGTGAAAAATAAAATCCTTAGTCTCAAATGCTAGATACCTAATTTAAGATTCTTCTATTAAGTCAATCTCAACTCTTCACTATTACATTCTATGCAGAAGCACAGAAAAGCTTGCAATTTTAACAATTGTGGTAAAATACAGATATAAAAATGGGTTTAATTTTGCATTGCCACACAGGAACTCTGTCTTGGCTGTCATGTTCCCATATTGCCGGCTACGCTGCTTAAAAACAGTAAAGCAACATCAATCTGGGCTATGCTCTTATTCACATCTGTTTTCCATAGAGTCCACATGTCACTGTTTTCTGCTGGGAGTTCACACATTTCATCCTACAATGGAGCCCCTGCTAAGAAGTCTCCATGTTCTTTTCCCACATTATTCAGTGCTAAGACCTTTGTCTGATTTGATATATAGCTGAAACGCTTTGTTCAGAACCACCTATTCCTGCCTTTGCTTCTACTAAGAAACTCCATGAAACTCCATGCAACCCAGGAATAGAGTTGTAAGGGAAGGCCGTGGTTTCCATCCATCCTGTTCTGGTTTCATCACAATCAGCTCTGTTTCCATTCTGCTGCACTTTAGCTTCTGCTAAAACCTATACTATTTATTGTGCTATCTGCTATGCCCAAAACTTATGTAATTAGTTACGTGATTCATTTCTTTATTGATTGCTTTTCAACAAAATATGAACAGAACGTTACGTTTCCCCCAGTTCCACCCTGCTCCCCATAGAACAG